GAGACAAAACAGTTAAATGCAACAAACATGTGATCCTCGATTGGGTCCTGGTGCAGAGAAAGGACGTCAGTGGGAAGAGGCATGGAATTTGAATAAAGTCTATAAAGTAATTCATTGAGCAATGCCGGTGATAATTTCCTGGTTTTCACAATGGTACTGGATTATCTAAAATGTTACTATTTGGGGGAACTGAGTGAAAAGTATATGATGACTCAGATTATTTTTAGTACAGTTTTTTTTTCTCAGTTCATATAATTTATTGCAGTTAGCACACGGTTTAAAAATTCACCAACACACCAATAGTACAAAACTAAACAGCATTGTAAGTTATTTCCCCCTCAGGAAAATAAAACCTACTATGATTATCAAAGCTAGATGGCAGTCTGAGTTTTAGAACAAGGAAGAATGTGAAACTACGAAAAGGAAAAAAGCAATCAGTCACAAGGACCACAAATAGAAAATCCAAAGGAAGGTCCGTTTTCTCACAGACATTGATTGTCTTCTCTAAATTAGTAAAAATTATTTTAACATAAACTGTATTGAAAAAAACTAAAAACTCTTCAAGTAACTACAGATAATGCTCCAAGGCCATTTTCACAGCGTTTTTTTATTTGCTTGCTTTAAATGCCATTGCAGCCACATTAACACACGTTTAACCAAATATTTCCAAAACAGTCCAGCAACACACAATGGAGTTTTCCATTCGGTATCTAAGCCCCCAAATAGCCTATGTTTACAGTAGTTAAGGCGATCAAATTTTAAACAAAAGCAATTAAAAAAAAAAGGAGAAAAACAGCGAACATGTTTTCCATGCTACTCCCATAGACCTTATTTGTAAGTGCAGGACACGAAAACAAACACTGCGCAAAGTGCTTTTGCCCTGCGTGCTGGACAGTAACACCACATGTTGGGCTGCAGCCTCTGCTGCCCTGATACACATAGTCCACTAACCCCCTTCCTCGTGCCAATCAAGGCAGCCCAGTCCTTCCAGCCTGGGGCTTTTTCAGTCCATAGAATCTTTTCATGAGTAGGGGGTAGAGGGGGTGGGAGGGGGGAGCAAGGGAGTTGAGTACAGTTTTAAAAGTCTGAAATTTATTATTACAAAATAAAATTTCACAAAAAAAAAAAAAAAAAGGAAAGAAATCTTCCAAGTATTTCTGGTGAGTTGCCACAGTTACAGGCCACTTCCCTAAGTTATCTTGCCTAATACCGTTAGAGTAATCTTCCTGGAAATGCTTTTTGTTATGTGTCTGATCTTCTCAAAGCTTTCTAGTGGCTCCTGTCATGTCTGGGATAGAGTTCACTTTCGTTAGGCTGCCCTTCAAGGCCCCCATAGTGTTGGCCCCAGTCTATTCCCTCCGTCTACCTGGAAGGACCTGATGACACACGTTTCACTTTCTCATGTCTTTTCCTTCTTCCCATAACACCCTTCTCGCCTTCCCACTCAGCCTGCTGAATGGTTCTTCATCCCGAGGCCCGTTTCAGATCCTGTGTCTTCACTGAAGCCTC